TTTTCAATACGTGTTAGGGATCTGATGGTGAATCCAATACAAAACTATCCTCACATTAGCCATTGGCAAAAACTTTGACAACAAGATCTCAAACACATTTTACAAATGGTTATATAAATTACATGTAATTATGTTATTAAATTTATTTATACAATAGTTATAAATACCATATCATATGTCATATTAATAACATTCTAGTAGTAATAATATTCCGTAGGTTTTGCTTTTATAACTGAATTAATTGCAAAGGAAATTAAAATATTACACAAAATTACCATCGGTAAGTATTTGCCATAAATAATCATGGTAACAATTGGCTTTTGTTTGTATGTGTGTATTCGCCAATGCATTCGTGCACTTCATATAATTAAATGTAATTTATTGTGTCTGACGTTTATTAGTGGTATAACTGAATGAATTAAATGCCGTTATAATTAAATTGTATTTATCTTTCCTATTATTAATGTTTGATTTGTGTCTTTTCATTAAGTTTTTTGACATTTTGTTTATTATTATTCCGTATTTTTCCACAGAATCGTTGTGTATGTATATAAACAACAGCGAAATTACAATTAAATGTCTTAATCTTGTGATATAATTATCAATAGCTAAGGGTGTATAGTATATAATGAAGTACACTGTCTGTACACGTACTGTCTGCCCACATGGCTATTGATTTTTCACATTGAGCTAAAAGTTATGTCAATAATTTTGCACATAATACACGAGAATTGCATATAAGATAAGCATAATATAACATAACATTTAGAGTTAGAGAATTTTAGCTTAAAGAATCACTAATGAATGGCAAGAATCTATACATTTTATGATTAGTATTACAGAATATTCTTGGGATACATAACAATCTCAATACAAATTTCCTGTGTATTAATGAAATGCAATGTTTGTGTGTATATGTAATGTATATTATGAATGAATCGGTGGACACACTTGTGATGACATTTTGAAGAGATGGCTCAATTGATCGGTGACTCCGGCAGTCAATGATTAGCAGAAAAACATACATATTATTACACATTAAATGTCTGTCTAATGATTGCGATAGTCGTGTGTGTGCTGTGTATTGTATGTCACGACCCCATCCCCTATGGTTTTGATAGAGCTTTCAATATCACTCTTTCATCTCTCTCTCTCTCTCTCTCTCTCTCTCTCTC